CATTTCAGTAATGCCTTAAAAATTAGAATATTTACATGAATACAAGTCAACAATATTCTGAATAGAAAAAGAATGTACGGCACACACATATTGACATTTAATAGGTAACACAACATGACATCAAATCTAATGTATGAAAAAATAACTCCTGCGACCATTAAATATAAGTGAAAGTGTGGAAACTGAGTAGTTTTAGATTTTGAAACGTATATCTTTGGATTTATTCATACTCCCGCTATGTTTGATAAGCGATTTAAATTTCCGTAGTTTTTTTAATACCCCTTAGTTATAGTTCAATTCATGGTGATACAATAATTTTTGTCCCAATTTTTATTATTTTAGTCAGTAAAACTAAACAATCTGTAAACATCAAAGATTAACGCATCATATTTCAACATATATTCATTACACAAGTTACTAAGAAGACGTGAATGCTTAAAGATATGTACTTTATTAAAAACATCTTAGATAAATAAAATTAAGAAACATGATTTCCTTCGTGTAACATTCCTGTTGACATTGAGAAATAACAATGTTTCTGCTGTCATAAAAGCACTGAGACTATCAGGGTTTCAAGGATTGAAATCGATAGTGTTAGCCAATTTGTAAGCTAAACTTAGTTTGAAACGAATTTGGAAGGAGGATCAAAGGAATTGTGACGTTAAAGATAATGTTTGCTAAGAGTAACTATGAATTTCTTAAATATTGGTTTCGTCTACAGTCCGAAAGTAGTGATTCACCAACAGTTATTGACGGATCTTAATGGTTTACTGCTAGTTATACAGCACTATTTCAAAAACGTACATAGTTTGTACACCTAGCAAGTCCATCAATCGACTGAATTTCATTGGTTCTGAAAACTTGAACATTTATCTAGATACATCGATAAGAAATACATAGTGAAAACCAAGAGTTTATTACTATGGAAATAAATACAGGAGATAGTTTTGCCATGTGAGCAACGTGCTTAGGCTTATTAGAATTAAGTAACATAAAATATTTCCCTTCGATCTTTTGTCTAATATTTGTTCGATATTTCGAAGAAATAAAACTGAATAACTTCTAAAGATTCATTAAAAATATTTCTGGTTTATGTCTTAGATTCACAAAGCTGGAATTATATAGGACATGTCTGTGCATGTTATTGAATTCCACAGTTGAATAATAGAAGGGAAAAATAGCAAGTAATGATAGCAACATCTGTTTTCCATGTTTTAAAAAAATCACCTATGTGTATTATATCCATCTCAAAGATATTTTTTAAATCAAGAAAGGAAATTAAGTTTTCCTTACTAGGACTTTTATAATCTTTATATTATTTTTATGTTGATAAAGAAAATGGACAGGAAATTAACCAACTTTTTTATCTAGTCAGTGTATGAACATATGATTTTGTGTCTACACATGTTTGCACAATTACCTCACTGTTAGAGATGAAATAAAGTAAAAGAAAGCTATTGATTAATAAATACAATTATTTGTATAAAAGTTCTAATAAAATATTTTGCAATGAATATCCTTTTTACTCTAAAACGTTTTGGTGAAATGATAAAACTTTATCATTACAATATACTTGAACACTTAGTTATACACAAACCACATGTCTGTAAAGAGTTGCATAATGAATACTAAGGTAACAATTTATCACAACGGCAGAGAGTTTTCTGTACAGAGGCTACTCAGTCTTCCAATGGTTTTAAACGATAGCGATTTCGAAACCAATTCACGGTAGAAAAACTATAGAAATTTTTTTATCGGCCTTTGTGAAATCGAAGATTTGTAGCCTATAAAATAGCAGCCGATTCATAATTAAATATAAGAAAATTAAAAACAATTAATCTGAAAGCTGGAAATGAGTTTTTGCTCAAAAGAAAATGAGATGAACTGCCCAAACAAGTAGTTACGTACTTAAAGAATAGATCACAAGCATCATGAGGGCCGAACAACTCAGTGACAATGTCGCAGATGATGAAGCTAGGTGATGCATGTTCGAATCCCAGAAGGAGCATCAGTCCCCTTAAGATTGTAAGAATCTCTTTCTGACGAATGCCAACTAGCACGAAACTCAGGTCCATGGTTTACAGCCTACCACTCCCAACCACCTACTATCACATGTATTTCCCATCACTTTATTTGGGGACCGATAGGTTTTTGAGAAGATCAAGTCATTATATATTTCCGCGTAGACAGGTCTTAACTTTCAAACTTAAGATAATACGTTTATTTTTATAAGTAAAATCATAGGTAACCATATTAAAGTAGCGGAAAATATTGATAATTACTTTTTTGAAAATTCACCAAAGTTCCAGTCATACAATTGCAACAACCTTGGGTTGAAATTAGATATTTGAATTATTTAGGCTGTTTACTAAGCTGAAATATTTCCAATTATCTATCTAATATCTTTTAATTATGACTATCAAATGATCCCATGGTTACTTTAACCAGGTTTTTCTAAGTATAATCAAATCTCATAACTTTCTTGATAGTCACTATCGAATCGTTTTTTTTATTGAATTCAACTAAATAACCTTGTCTATCTTTTTCGACATTCTACATTATATTTATTAATTTACAAATATATACTGCATTACGATGTTATTCAATACTGTATCAAATTTATTTTCATTGATCTAAACTTCGATTTAATTGGTTATTAAATATTCACTTTACCAACTGGCTAATCTTTTTTCAATAAAATGTTATTTGATAGTTAGAGAGTGTAAATTATAGATGGGAGACTATAATCTAATGCAATAAAATTGAATTGATTTGTTCTGTTTGGTTTGTCACCTCTGTTCTTTATATCTTTATATATTTATTTTTTCTAAAAAAAAATCAGAAATATATTTACGTATTGCATTCATCAAATGTAGTTGATGAACTTAAAAATAAAGAAAATTCTTTGTGTACAAGATGTTTATTTATAAAAAACTCAGGAGATCCAGTGTTTTGCCTCCGTAATTATTTTCGAGTTCATATATAATTTCTAATAAAAAAATTAAGTTAATTTCTTTAACTAAGTTTTCTAAATTAATCAAAAAGTGATACTTTCCAAATATCTTTATTTGTGTGTTGTAATTTACGATTGGAAAACTAGTTTTACTAACTTTTACTAGTTATCTTAAATCATGTTGTTTCTGAAGTGTTGTATTTGGAATTATCTTGTTTTTGTTTCATTTAATTACCAGTACAAAAAAAGCATTCAAATATTTGACTATAGAAAATTTCAGAAATGTTTTCTTGACGGACCGATACAAGTTAAAGAACCTCTGAAGATAACAAAGCACTGAACAACTGTTTTTCGCTTGTTTGAGACTTTTCAACCTAATCATTTACGCAGTCTTTTAAAACCAAACCTATAAAGTTCAGATCGTTTAGTTAGCGCACTAACGTTAAACGACTATCTATAAAGCAAGTGGTCTACATTACTAACTTCAATCCTTTGGTGACACAGCACAATCGTAATCCAAAATAATAACTGTCTTACTTCCAACATGGCTGAATGCTAATCGTCACTTGAACTTCAAAAATTCATTTTGAAACTAGTCACTAAATAATGTATGGTCGTCACTGGTGGTTTATCGAAAATTAGTTCATTGTGAAAAGATTTTCTATTATTATCGCGAAATGAAATTCTTGAGATCAATTAAACACTGACAATCGATCATGTCTGATTTGATTTAAAATACTATTTCATTAACTTTTATCTGCTCTTAGTGTACTTAAAAATCATTTATACAAATATTAGTCATCTAAACCTTAAAGTATTTTTCTTCAACAGAACTGATATTTATGAAAATTTATGAGATTGCTTACAAGTGCACCATTACTTACAATGTATCCAATCAAAGATGAATGGTATTCTAGTCTTTATTGTTATTGACAAGATAAAAGTTCAGTTAAATGAGGTAACAACACAAGGGTTTGACTCGATAATTTCAAATAAATTGAGCATTGAGTAGAAAGTTGGTAACAAAATAAGGGTATATATGTGGTATTCCAATGAGTTGAAATTTGAATTTCTGCTTCGAAGTTAATAACTAAATAACCAAATCAAGTAATTTATTGTTTAACTTTTAGTAAGTGGTTTATACTAAGCCATGAAACTTAAGAAACTGAAATTTCTATTCATTGAGATATCCCAACTACTTAATTGTTTTATTATCATTACCTCGTAATCTGCTGGACCAGGAAGTTGTTCTTTTTCTGTTTCTTTGAATCTCTCCGACTGATAAACAAACTTCCCTTTTTGAGGTTTATTTTCCAATATATAATATTTTGCTGGACCTATCAGCAGTGGAGACACATTATGTACATTTATTCTCAAAAATTATTAAAACACTCAAAAATAATTTTACCAACCATAATATTTTGCTGTGATCACTCAATATGAAATTAATCCACAACATTTTCTCGAAAATAGGATAACATTATATTTTTGATCCATTTCTCTGGCCAAAGTCACTTAATAGCCTTTAACTTACTATTCTGTCAATTACTTATCTTGTTTTTTGCATATACCATAAGGTGTTTCAATAGGAAGTAACTTCTGAGCTTCGTTCTTATTTCCAGATTTGTTTCAAAGTCACTCAGGTATTACAAACTTAATCCAAGTAGGTGAACCCACTTAATTAATATTCTAATATTCTATTATTTTGAGAACCTAGAATGCAAGTGAATTACTCCTAAAATGCTTAATTCTAACTAAATATAAGTTAACTTTAAAAATTCACTTTTCTGAACAGTTTTTTCATTAGAGTTCACTGTGCAAAAGGAAACTGGAAGATCTGATGTGGATGACACAGTTTTGAAATAATATATGATAAAAAGTTGAATGGATTGCTTCAGTATCAGCTGTTAGTGTAGTTTTCTGTTTATCCAAACAAAGTAAAGCGTGCAATAGTTATAATGCATTCAGGTGGACTCGTTCTATCTCTTTTTCGTCATTTCCAACACTGAATTGATGAAACACTTTGTATCATCAAGCTATGATCTTGTGGAAAACTCTACTACGAAATACGATCATAGTATAAAATGATTTAGAAAAATAATAAGCAAACCTAATCTGATCTGTGCTAATGGTATGCACCTACGTCTGCAAAATGAAATTTTGGAATATATAACAAAAAGAAGGAATTACTGAGAGGTCACAAATTAAACTTCACTATACAGACAAATGGATTTGGATTTGTGAATTAAATATAAAACAAAATAGAATTAGAGCTTGGTTGAAATACATACGGAATTTAACAAAATAAATCATCTAACAGAGAATTCCATGGTGCTCTTTAGTTTTACAGAACTAATAAATTATGTTGTGCTAGTAGACATTGTTGCTTGTGAAAATCAGAACTTCAAGACTGATACAACAGTTTGTAATTAACGCCAAAAGGTTTTATTTGTATTTAAATATAATGTCATTCTGTCCTACTTTATACTCTTTCAAAAGTTAGACGATGCACTCATTAGGGTCTGTTGTAACTATTCCATAGAGATAATATTTATTTACTTTTCTTCGGTAGTCATATGCATTATAAATGCTAGTTTTGGTCATCCAATATTTTTCCTGACTTCAACACATTTACTGCTGAAAAATAGCAATATGAGAACATGATTGCTTTTTTTTTACAAAATAACTGGTCTAAATTGTGTATACAAAGGTTGGAAAACATAGTATATGGATTTCAAGTTATAACTGCTGAACAAACTGTTAATAAAATACCATGTTTTAGGGAATTAGTTTTGTTGACACTATAATGGTCATGTAATATTTACATAAGAGACATTTCATTTCGAATATGCTTGTCTTTTTTTTAAATACCACTGACTAGCCAGTTTACAGTTTATGGAAAATATCATATATACTGTATCATATACAACAGCATATTTGATATTAACTTTGAACAGATCTTCAAAAAATATCGCTTGCCTGGCACATCAGGGTTTTTTGGACCCAACGCAGAATGTTTACCGAATCTTTCTGCAGTATTTGAGAAGCAATTTCTTCTTTGCCTACCTTCTATAGTACGAGGTACAGCGGGAATACGTTTGCATTGTGTCACATCAAAAGATTTTCCAAAATCATATGTGCCGGGTGGGGGTACTGACTAAAAATTTGAAAACAAAAACAGACTAAAACGTGGCATAATATTACTACATAAATATACGAATTACAGGTATTTACTCCGAAATCTTACTAAAATAACTAAATTACTGGTACATGAGAAATTAAACAGTTTAGGATATTGGTTGTCATTCGATTACAATTTCGACTTTTGTAGCGAACCCTACTTACTCAAAAATCAAACTTCTAGCGACAAAGAAGTAATGCCAATAAACTTAAGAATGTAAATATATTGCATGTTAAAGCTATATACAAAAACCGTTGTATTTGTCTTAAGGGGACCATAAAATGTATCACCACAAGTTATTTTACGATCTTCAAAATCGCTGACTGACTTAATACAAAGATCGTCCTTTCGGTGCCTGGGTACACACGTTGTACATTATATTTCAACAATCAATCAACTGACGACTCCCTCATCAAATGATATTATTGGTTCACTGGTTACCGGTTTAGAGCTAACTACAAACATAACATAAACTATGGCGCTCACCTTTATTATAATTATAAATTACACACGTAAAGAAAAACCATGTATTTCTCATCGATCCTACAAAAAACCTTATTTATAGTGACCGATATATAAATATTGAGTCCAATCACCTCAATACCTTATTCTTCTAAAAAAAATTAGTGATGATAAAAAATGTAGAAAATAAACAAAAACGCTAAAGAACGACATTCCGTTATATACTGAAAACAATTTTAAATAGTTTAATTAAATTTATCAAAAAAGAGCTCTAATGATTCTTCCTACCGATTGAGGCATCGATATCTCCCTTTTTGCCTTTGGAATTCCAACAGCTTTCGAAGTATATTTTCCATCACATTTTTGTGGATTATACTGTCCAGGGCCAGGAATGTCACTTAATCCACCGCCAAATTTTCCACCGAAAACTAACTTATCATTCATACGTTTAGCTGTTGAGCCGAATCCCACACATTTTCCAAGTTGTGAAAAATCTAGGCGATATGTCAATCCATCATCAATATTATAACTATTTGGGGCTAAACATTAACAACCAAAAAAAGAAAGAGTAAAATGTTGTAATGCCCTTTCTTAGCATAGGAATGCACCCTTCAAAATACCTTTGTAAAAGTAGCTCAATCCAGATCACATATGATCGATATGCTGAAAATATCAGGTGAACAATATCTACATACCCACAGTGTAAGTGAATATCAAGATCAGATATATGGACAGTGGATTCATTCGAATGAGTAAAAACTGCATTGAACAAAAAACATAAGTTATCACATATCTACCATGCCTCAAATTCTTTTACGGCTAACACATGTAAGTGAAAATCGTTATAGATTGACCTCATTATGATTACCAGTGAAAGTCAATAAGAACTGGACAACTGATTCATTCTAGTATGGAACTCCACAACACTTCGTACCCACAACCTCAGTAGGGATCAAAGCCTGAACCCAATCGTCTGGAACATGTACTACACATCTCTAGAAATCATTTATTGTTAAAAAATATCCATATTTTCTGGAAATGTATTACAGCATGATTTGTACATTTGTACAAGTCGTTTCATATGGTTTACATTTTAGTGTTTTTCCTCCCGAGTAGTATCGCACCCTTCTTTTTATCTTTTTTAACAAAGACCATGTGTTATTACTTTTCGGACAATTCAGTGCCCCGTTACTAATAAATTAGTAAATAGATTTATGGTTAACGACTGTATTCTCATTTTACCCCATTCACTATGCAGATAAATACCCTAGTCAAGATTGGAATTCCGTTTTTTGATTAGCTGGAGCTGTAAGAGGAAAAATATGTTTTTTGTCCACAATTTTAAGAGAGCGATTCTCTGGAATACTTACACCATAATCCAAACTACAAAGTTTGATAATGAATAATATACGATTAATATGAAACATAACTATTAGTCATCACGTCAAAACAGAGCATCTTTTCATTTCGTTCCTAACTGTTCTATTGACAACGGCAAAATGATGTTTTGCTTCTAAACAGGGTTTTCAAGACTATGCGAATTACTGGTTAAAAAGGCTTATTAACACGGTAGTAAATCAGTAAATTACTTATCTTTACCGTGATTTAAAGCATATAACCATCCCTAATTAATGTTCCCACTCCACAAACCTTATTTGTGGTTGTCTTATATCTGATTATTCGCGTTAATTTTTCTATACGATACTATAATGAAATGCAGGGATTTACACCAATGAACTCCTTGAGAGAGTTTTTATGTCATTTTATTTGTTTGCTTGTATATCTATCACCACTATAAACAGACGTGTAATTTAATATGCGCTTATAGGCTAACAAAAAGCATGATTCCTGTTTAAAAGAATCCAGTAGACATGGAAAGTGAGACGTAATAGGCAACACGTATAGTGTTTAGCCGAGTCTGGTAAAGGCTTAGTGATAGAAGCTGTAAGCTTACAGTCATTCGGTTGAAGGCTTTAGTTTCCATCAACTCTGGTTTGAGAATCTGGGAAACATCATTCAGTTTCATATAAAACATGTGCACTGGAGAGAAGTATACTAATCTAAATTTGGTTAATAAAAGGATTGGACAAGTAATTTTTCACTTACCGTTATGAAAGTGGAACATGCTAAACGGTTCTTGATAAGAAATGGCACAAAAATACTTGTATAGTGATCATAAATTATCTTCTATGGAGGTGCAACTTTAAAAAATCGCATTTCTGGGTACCTTTTTGTTATAAAGGTTTTCTCATTAAAATTAAGGGAGTATTCACACTCAATTTCAACGCCCTCATGTTTATCATATTCTTAATTTATGGTATCCAAAAGTCCAAAACTGATATCCGATTTTGAATGGTACATTATTTAGGGTTTCCAAATAGGATATACAGTTATTAATTAGATATGATCAAATAAAAACAGGAATAACATCATGATTAACGAATATCGTAGTTACGCGAAACACACTCACAAGATTGCGGCACAACTTCCTCTGAAACACAGTATTACCTGTCTGTCAATAGCAAATGTAAAAGGATTCCAGAGCACCATTTTAGTCGAAAACTGCTTACCAACCTATGGGATTGGGAACTATATGCAGCAGTCACTAACCAGATTAACGTAATCTAGACTAGGGATAACATTTTTTTATTCGAAATCCCATTCATTGACAATGGTCAAACATGAATTGTCCATAAAGACTGAAATCTATAACCTATGGCTATACTAGGAAAAACATTACGAGCAAATTATTCCTCCGAAAGCGTTCATTATAGTGAATTGTTTATCTTAAAGGGGTTATTAATAATATTTCATTATCCATAACGTTCATTAAATACCATATGAAGCTATGTATTTAGGACTGATTCGATGACACATTAATAACATGGAATTCATGAAATAAAAATTTCTCTAATTATTATTACTATTTGAAACCAGTAAGTTAAATTTAATTAAAACGACTTATTTTGGAAGTCAGTTTTTTTAAGATAAAAAATTAATGACGGTGTTTTCCTGATTAACAATAGTTTGCCAGTTATTTCGTGACATTTGTTGCAATACGCGCCTGCTAATCAGCTTAAAATTTCAGGATAGTTGCGAAGTAATATGACAGCTGACCACAAGCTTTAGTTATAACGATATTTTGTATTTTTTTAAAACCAAGTTAATTCTCAGATCATCTTTACAACTGAGACTGTGGGTAGGGGTAGATGCTGAAGAAAAAGAAGAGCATAGAGAAGTTGCGTAGACTAGACTTTACAAAATACCATAGAAATATTACTGTGATAATGATATTGATGACCGGTGAAAAGGATGATAATCATACCTATAATAAACTCTAATACAATAAAGTTAAGATGAAATATTACCCACACCCTGTTTCTAACTAGTTTAAAATATGACCCTATGTTTGAATGCATAGCAGGAAGCACTGCATGTTGTTGATATGTGGAATGGCGCCACTCAGTTACACTTACTATGTTACATATGTAAGTTAACCTTAAAAAATCTGAAACCTTGTTATGGCGCCATTACATGACACATACAAACAATATTTCCCAAAAGGCTAGTTATACCAGTTACTTAAAATTGGAATGTTTCATCATTAGCCTGAAATACGCACTGTTTGTAAATCATTACTTAAATAGACATCAAGTTTATGTTATTTTTTTAAAAAGGACTTTATATTTTGTCATCTTTTCATTTCAACGCCATAATTTCCTAATAACAAGAAACAGTAGTTACCGAATACTTCTATGTTCTGTTAGGCTGTTTAGGGAAATAAATGACAGACTATTAAAAATTTAAAAAGATTACTTCTTGTCAGTTGTGATTACTGATATAAGCATGCGCAACAATGATATTCCGATATATGTAAGTTATATTAGTATGCATATGTTTGTGCACCTATGAGTAGTCAGTTGCATGAGGAGAATAAGTGATAAAGAGAAGCAGTTCTATTTAATGTCAACAATCATTTTAAAGGTCATGATTTATTCAATTGTGTCGATTGGTGATAAAGGCTTAATGACTGTTCATTTGTTTGGATTAGTCAGCAAAGTAATAATAAAAATGTAGTTTTATTAATCTAAATATGAATGAGTCAGTTATTTCAACTCTCTTTGTTATCCTTTGTATCTTATTGTAGTTTTTAAGTGAAACGAAAGATGTTGTAATAAATTTCCTAAATTTTCGTTGACCACTTCCGTGACCACTGAACTTTTGCGAGTTGACAGCTTGCTAAAATTCGGAGGCACGAATTCATACTTCCATCGATTCATCAAAAGAATAGGAATCATGGTAAAGACATTCACAATCCATCTTACTCATTGTCTTTTCATAAACAAAAAGATGACCAACAAATGATTTTTCTAAATTTTATCTTGTGTGATCAGATAATCACAGTGTAAGTTATTCGTAGTTTAATACAATAACATGGTGAATATCAGGTTGACTACGAAAGATGACATCAGAAGTGATATAGACTTTTAAATATGCTGCAGCAATATATTTATTCCTTATATGAAACTTACATAAACATTGGATTGAAATGTAATATTTTGTTTTAGTGGATTGTATGTATTCCATTCACTGGAACGTTTTAAAGTCAGGCTTTAAATTGAGCATGTGCTCATGATGTCGGTTGTTTTCAGTGAACAATATTTAATCTGTTAAGAATCAATCCAGCAGTGGTTCATAATTTGATTAAAAACTGACTCTATAAAACCCATCAGTGACCGAAAAACATAGTTATTGAAATAATACTAGATTATAAAGTTTTTATCTGTTTATAGTAGTGCAAATTATTTCGCAATGTTTTTCGCAACATTAAAAGAGATATCCGTTGATAAAGTCACCAGCACTACTATAAAGTAATGGATAACATTTGCCAAAACAACCATTTATATGTACACTAAATGAAAATACTAAACTGGGAATTACTTGACTTTGTCGAGTGTAAAATCTGACCCTTGATAACCTTATACAGAATGTGTTATAGTAATCTTTCTGAAGTGTACGCTTTAGATGAAATTGGCTGTACCTAACTAAAAACAATATTAGGCATATCATAAGATGCAAAACAACTTAATACTGATTTAATATACATAATATCCTATTTGATCCAGAGATTTTCTTATTAATAAATAATGATACGAAACCTAACTACCAACGAGTAAGCAAGACCACTGATGTATGGAAGTAAAAACTTAAATATATTGTCCAACTAAATAAGGTTTAGATTGATACATCAAAACATACAGCAACAGTTATTCTATAAGCTTTCAAGGTTGTATGTAATCTGGAGGTAGACCATCAAAATTTAATGCGCCGAATTGTGAAGTTTGACCAGTCAGACTTTAACCCATCTTTCTCAACAAACACGAACATCCCATCTTATGTTCTCTGTCATTGAAATATAAGTTTTATACTGCTTTCATCAAAAGTTATTGGATAAAGAATTCTTCTCCAGTTTAATTTAGTTACACTTATATTTATCAAAGATCCCAGTTTTAACAACTAAAAACAAGATATTAATATA